TTCTAGGTTATAGTTTGTTGATAAGTTCGCTTTCTTTATCTAGAAAATGTATGTCAATATATTCCATACCATTCCATACGATAATGTATATATATTTATGTGAATTGACATATTAGTTTCAGAATACCGATATAATAATCTTCGACAATTAAAAACCATGAAAACTTACCATAAAGCGAAAACTAAATTTTACTGCAACGTTGGAACGCCGCAACTAACAATACACTGCAAGATGTCTGGTGCAACAAGGTTGGTTGAATGCAGTGGCGTACTTACGGAGGGAATAAAGGGGATATATCCCCTCCCATATGCCGGCATTCGTAAAATTATCATCAAAGACGAAATCAAAATTCAAAAACAAACGTCAGGCACTGGCCTTTTCGGAGATTTGTAGTCGATATGCCTCCCAAACGTACAAACAAAGATCTGAACATTTTCTGTATGTACAGCTATAGGGTGATAATATTCCACTCATCAATATAGCTATCTCACTTAATATTGGTCTTACAGAAATGTTCAAATGAAAAAAAATAAAATATTTCTCATGGGCATTCAGAATCTATTATTAGAAAATTCAAACAAGCCGCGCGTGAACATGAAAATTCTATACGTAAACTTGATTTTTTTTAATTGAACACCCTGTATTTTATTTTTCTGAAAAGGAGAGCTATTTATTCTTATTTCAAATATATATACTTTATCGAGGTTTTCTTTTGTCAGATTTTGAAATACACACGTCAATGTTGCGATTTCAGGCGTTCTACTGCTGCCTTAGAAGCCATATTTTTCTAAATCTGACAAAGATAACCTCAATAAATTATATATGTTTGAGATCAGAATGAGAATGAGGTTCATAGATTAGAAAAATGAAATACAGGGTGTTCCATTCAAACAATACCAGTTTATGTGCTTTTTCAGACTAACGATGTTTTTTTGCATTATCTCTAGTGAGTAATAGATTCTGAAAGCCTCAGTTTTGTCCATTCGAACGTTTCTGTAAGACGAATATTAACAGAGGAGTCAAATTTAAACAATCACTCTGTATATGATTGCCAGTGTTCATTACGACGTTCATTATCATGAAGAATCTTCTCAACTAAAACTCATGAATACCTACCTATTTAGGAATAGTAAGTCCAAGTAAGGCAAAGGATTTGCCATGCTATAAATTCATAGAGAGCTTACATTTAATTCTGTAAGGCTCAGAACTCTCAGAAGTATCATTGTTACCAATACAATAATCATGAAGTGATAAAATATGTTTTGAAAAAAAAATTAAATCCTTCCCCAAGGTACACTTCTGATGGCTACGACACCGGTTGAATTGATGATTATTATTGAAATTTGGGAACCATTGAATTGATTATTTGTAATAACCAGTTCAACCAACTTTGCAGTTCTTGGATTCCGAATGTTTTTGTGAATACTAATGATTTTTGTTTGAGGAGCTCAAAAATGAATATATAATGAATAGGCACAGCTAGGAAGTCTTGTTTGATTCTACATAACTTCAGCCTAGGAGTCTAGATGAAGGAAAGTGAAAAAATTCAATAGTTAGTAGATTTTTTTTTATTTTTTACAAAAATATAAAACGATTTTCTCAACTTATTATTAGTAGGTGCATAATCACAACCGAACAATACATATGACTATGAAGTTGTATGTACAAAAATTATGTGATAATGTTCTACAATAATATAAATATACCCACTTATAGAAGTAGGAAAGTGTCAATTTGAGAATGAATTTTTCAATGATATAGACGAGGTGATGTAATGTACACATGGGATTATAAGAAAATATTAATTATTTTCAATAACGCAACTGAAAATGTATGCTAACAAAATATAACAAATATTCAACGTACTTTCTTATTTTGCTCGTTAGTAGAACTCAATGAAATTCTTCCAAAAACTGAACCAACAATTTATAGCAACCATATAAACCTAAAACTAAGATATTAATTCGAAGTTGCAACATAGCAAAAATGACGAAACAGAATTTTCCAGCCAACATAAATAAAAAGATTTATGAACCCAGAAGAGTCTAAAACGCAGAAGAAGTGGGTATCGATAGAATCAGAGTTCATGATGGTAGGTAATTTGGTATGTCAACATTGGTGAAGATGATAGACTACCAAAAAAATGCATACAGGGGTGACCCAGAACTATGGAAACCTCCAAATATTTATAATTCAGTTGTTGATACGCTAGATTCAAAGCTGATTCCAGCAGGTTGTCAGGATGTTGAGTTTTTCACCTGTTTTTGGATTCCGAATGTTTTTGATTTCCCTCACACACATTTGTGAAGCAGGAATGAAAATACTTTTAGAATTCAATAGCTCACCTCGAAATAACTAACATATTTGCAGCACTACCGTCATCAGCTAATCCAGCATATATATAGGCAGTTGCCGGTGCAGAGATAAATACAGGGTTGGACGTCGTACACGTGTGGGAACATCTTTTTTCTGACTTCACCAAACCAACTGAACCAAGTGATTTTTTTCTCAATCAAGACTTTTATTATTTTTTCTGTTGGCCACTGTCTACTGTTGATTTTGATCACCCTGTATATGATTGCAATTTTAGATTCTCCCTGAAGAACTCATTTCATCATTGTCTCACACTTGTCCATAGCAGGAATGATTACAGAGAGACAGAGATATAGGGTGTTCCAAATCGAGATTTTTTTCAACTTTCGGATTTTTTTGTGTTGAAACTATTGGTCAAAACGGCTCACATGTCCCTCTCTCAACTTTTGATTTACTATCTACTGACATTTAATTGGAACAAATACAGGGTGGTTCAAGATTCAGAATTTTGATCTCCGTGTATCTTGTCTTGATAGTTTTGATAAAAAAAATACTTCTTTCCTTCTGCCACACATATGCCCAACCCTGTTTTCAAGGTTTCCATACTTTCGAGTCACTTTAAGTATGCACTTATACTCAAAATATGTTACATATATACAATTATTACATTATACCAGCTATTCCTAAGATCTTCATACGAAGATACTGATCATTCCTGAGACCAGTCGTCTTTTATTTTGATCTCAGGAACACAGTAATATATCCTTCTGCACAGACATTTTAGGTACATCCTGTATTATAGCGCCATCAGTTGTATAGGAAAGATTTTCAAGAATACAAGATTTTTACTTGTAATTTCGTTAGATATGTCATGTACTACATCAGGGGAAATGTTCCAAAACAAGAACAAGTGAGGTTTTAATAAATGAAAAATATAAATATTTCAGTTGAAAACCCCTGAAATAAAACTAAATTAAAGCTTCATGAATTACCCTTAACTTAACTGAATCACAATGATCATTCTCGATTTAATTATGTTTTCGCGTATTGCACTCACACCACGGCAGTGTCCACATTGCATACTTACTTTTTTCCTTTCTCGCAATCACAAAGAACTGGAAAAAAGTTTGTAGTGTTGGCGAGGCGCTAACTCCATTACAACTTCGCCATGTCTTATAGTTTTGAAGAGTTTGACGGCCTCGCGATGGGATAGTCCGCGAAAGAAGGTGCCATTTATCGAAATGATTTCATCACCTGAAATTATAAATATCGACGCAGTGTCAATTTCATTTTCTACCTTCTACACGTCCAAAGATGATATATCTCCGTCGAACATTTTTCGAAAAAAAGTGTCACTGACAATCGATCGAATTTTCTTTTCAGGTTCTCTGATAGAAAAACTTCGGAAGGCAGTGACATTTATTGGGGGCAAATCATCTGATTTGTCCTAACTACACGTATATTCATGGGCGGTCCTATGGGGAAGAGGGGGATAAAAGGAGTTACATAACAAGAAATCAATGTTTTGAATTCTATTCATAGAGAAAATGGTAGAAATAAAATCAACAAGAGAGTCAACGAAAAAATTGAAATTATACAGTTCCCAATTTTCGAATAAATTGCAGCCATTTTCATTGGGTTCTACTGACTATACAGAATGAGTCATAACTATTGGGACATAGGTTAAGGGAGGATTGTTTGAAACAAAATATATGGCAATAGGACCAAATATATATGCCTTGATGAAATATTGCTGTGGAAAGATACAGGGTGTTTCAATAGAAAAAAAGTATTGACTATAAACTCGCAAGAAAATTAATTCACTGCCAAGAAATGTAATTCACCAGCAACAATTATCTGACAGTACAAACATAGATACAAAGAACACTCTTCATGAATGAAATAATATTTGAAATTCCCTTCCGAGGATGTGAACTGTTCAATTGCGTTTTTTTCGAAAACGGATGAAAATATCGTTTCCAAAAAATCACTAAAAAGTTTCGTCAAAAAAAGTTGTCAGTCGATTTCTTCAGGAATCATTCATCGTGGCGTCAACCTCCCTATAGCAAACTGTAAAATAATACATAAAATAATATTCCCTGTATAGAATTATGCCTCTCTGCCGATTTTGATAATAATTAATGAATATAGGTACAGTAAAATCATTAGCAAATATATACGAAAAAAAATCAACTTTAACGAACTGCATCTTTTTCAACAGCAATATTTTGACTCACACCCTGTATAGTGTCATTTTGGAGAGCTGCCGTAAGTTCTCTTTATTTTATCAAATGGTGGATTTTCGGTATATTAAATGCATTATTTATGATGCATCATTAGATGGAAGTTGAATGTAACTGTTTTCATGGTTTCTTATTTTAACGAACTAGAAACTTGAAAATCAAAACACAGATTTTTTGATTGAAAGACATTGCAAACCTGTCAATCCGCTTTCCGATTCAGTGTAAAATAAAACAAAGAGCAAAATAAATGAACGTTCTTAAGAAGTAGGCACCAAGTTTGAAAAATATCACAAATAGGTACATGACTATTACCCCCCCTAGTTATTCACCTAAACATCGCTCTTGCGTATATTCAAATGGAACTCACATTCTCATTTTATAGAAACGAGAGAAAATCCCAAAAAATCTAGTAAAATAAATAAACAAGGGATACCGTTTCTCACCTTCTTTGAGTATCCCAGAATCAGCCGCTTGTCCTTGCTCGTAAACAGTCTTCACATAAATCCCCATCGGGCCTTTAGGCGAGTCCTTTCCCCCGACTATGGAGAACCCCAAGGCTTTGTGTCCGGGCCCCTTTTGGAACGAAACGGTCTTGTACGGATTCTGGCTCCTGTCATTCCTGTCATTCGTTCGCCCTATCGATAGAACGTAACCGTATTCTATCAGGAAATCATTTCATCGGAATCGCCGTAATTCATAGCGACAGTAGTTTTTAGGAACTGTATTTCATAGCGACAGCAATTTATAGGAACCGTTTTTCATAGCGACAGCAATTCAGGAACCGTATTGGATAGCATCAGTAATTTATCATAACCGTATTTAAGATAGTTCCGTGAATCCATCCCTTCTTGTATTTCATAGTGACAGCAAAAAACGCATTATAAATGTTATGATATGTTCGACTTTTCGATAATGATGACTTATCTCAACCGATTATCGCCTTTAGAATGAATTGAAGTCGTCAGGCTTCCAGGGATAAATTAACTGAACTGTTAGAGATAGAAAAATAAATGGATGGTATTCCACGTTCGTTTGGAAATTGAAGAACAATGACCTAAATAAATGTCCCAATCATATACGAAATATAGAGCGACTTCTGAATAGTATCTATTTAAAAACGCATATATGGAATGCGTGAACCAGATAGGATTCGGAGTTTGTAGAATTAAATTTGAGAAATTTGTGATTCTTCCAAACAAATGCTCCATACTTGTTTCTATCCCCCCCCTACTTTCTATTCACCCCGTTCAGCCCAGTTAACACAGATTGATCCTAGAGATATTAATAAGCGTCTAACTAGACCAGCGAATCTTTCAAACTTCCAGGTTATAAGAAGGTTATTCATGTTTATAAGGGGTATAACATGAAGTTGTAGTCATGTTGTAGCCATCTTGTGGGAAAGCTCTGAGGTAGGATACAGAGATATCGCGACATACACTGTATGGCGCTGCCATCTATAGTCACACGTACAGACCCCTACGTCTATACGCTACAGAGTGGTACTACAAGTAAATCACTCTGCTGACAGATGGCACTACCTGTCATACTTGAGTGGAATTTTTCAACCACCTATTCAACTGCTAAATCTCATAACTAAGAGATCTAGGATGAACAGACAATTGCTGACAATTGAGGCAACTCTGTTCATCCTAGATCTCTTAGTTATGAGATTTAGCAGATGTTTATAAGACTCGTAATATGAGAAAGAAAAATATCTCTTCTGCATGAAAAAAGAAAGTACATTCAACCTTACTTGTCCTAAATTAACCTTTCTCCTAAAAAGTATATTTTTGAAAAATTAATTGATTGAAAAAGAATTGGCGCATCGCAGGGATTGAACCCCAGTCACTACATTGGAAGCCAGACACACAGACCACTAAACTATCGCTTTACTCGTAGTGGTTCTATAGTTTCTCAAATGAAGAAGGAAGACATATCATGTGGGTGACGTCACTTGACCTAGATGTTTGTTTGAAGATTCGCTGGTCTAGCTAGAGCTAGACGCTTGTGAGAAATTAGAGGGCATCACATTCATGCCACACATCACACCCGTGACTCGAAAATGAGAGTCCCACTGAAATTACAATGACTGCTGTTCCCAGTGCCGGATTTAGGGGGGAGCTATGGGACTATCAGTCCTCAGCGGTGAATTTCAAGGGGCGGTAGAGAAAAAGAGAAAAGAGGAAAAGCAAGCAGTAATACAGTCGTTGTCTGGTTGAGATACTGTTTTTTTGAAAATCATAACATGCACTTATCTAACGTCAGCTATGTCTTGGACGCTACAATACAAAAACGGCGACGGTACATACTTCGTCTAACCATGTCTAACTCTGAGATTTTTTTTGCTATCCCTGATGATTAGTAATGCCAGTGGTGAAAGGTTATTTTCAACTTTAAAAAGAGTAAAAAAAACTACCTTAGGAATTCCATGGTAGAGAATATCATCAATTTTAAGTATTAACAGTGACATGTTATTGAATCTGAATTTTGATGATGCCATTGACGACTTTGCATCAAAAAAATCAAGAAAAGTATTTTAGTATTCATTTGAAAAAAATATTTGTTGTTTGTTGTTATGTTTAACGTGTGAAGTAAATATAATTTGGTTCGTTGTAAATAATGATTCCATGTTATTGTTATATGCTGTAAAAAAAGCAGTGAAAGGATTACTTGAATTTTGAAACTGGCAATTGAAAATTGAATATTTGGTGGCGGCGCGGCGGCATCGTAAAAGTTAGCCCCCGGCGTAAGGGAGTATAAATCCGGCACTGGCTGTTCCGGACCATTTTGATCATTCTATGATTCACATTATGATGCCAAATAAAACTTACAGTACGTATTATGCGACTACTTATTTCACATCAAAGTTGACTGATTCGGTTTGTTACATAAAAAGACAAGAATGTGAGGTTTCTGTGAGTCTTTTGGTTGTTAGAGAGCCTCACAATTAATTCACCATCATCGAATAAAATGTGACGATTGACGAATATTGCGAATGTTTCATAAAATAAAGAGTCCTCTCTGGCAATACCAATGATGTTTTCTTGTAATGGGCAAGTGGACTGATAATGAATTATTGGCATTCAATTAATTTATTGTGTCGTTAGGGACCTGAACCAATTTTGGCAACACTTCCCACGGTTTTTTCATGTGAATAATGAGTCTTTGCGTTGTTCGAAATCGTTGAATTTCAGAGCTCATTTCAAACGAACCATCATGGCCGCCATTTGGCCATGTTCTGCGATACGTTGAATTAAAGGTGACGTCAGTTTTTATGCTGTTTCGTTATTGGTCAGATAATCTTCCATTTCCACTCATGAAGCAAGGTTGTCAAGTCACATAGTGATAATCAGGATATCAAAAAGATGTTTAGAGTCCTGTCGTTGAATAAAACATGATATTATAGTTCATTCTTGACCAACATGTCCAGATATTTCTCATTCTCCAAAACAAAATATCATGTGAATGTTGGAGACTTGGCAATATTGTGCTGAATGCTGAGAACTGACAAGACCACGCCCACCGCCGTGTTGTCACATTCACCGATTCGAATGTCCTCTAGTGTGAATTATTATAATTATTTCCAAAAATTCTTCATAATCAATGATGAGCCACGAATCATAAGGGAAAATCTGGAGACAATTGAATTTTTATTGATAATTAGGAATATTATCAATATTTACTTGAGAATTTATGAATTATTGATTAACTGATATTTCTGAAGTTCCACAATCGTATGTATGGCAACTGTGCTATGGTCTGCCCCTACTTACGAAATTAACCCAGGCAACCAGATGACGTTCCAGTGACGTCTTTTTTACGTCACTTGTATTTGACGTCGCATTGACGTGGTAATGACGTGAATAAGTCACAGCCCAATGACGTCATATTACTCACGTCGTATTGACGTCATTTACTCACCAAACTGTGACGTCCGACTGACGTCATAATGACGTCAAAATGACGATTGAATTTGACGATGATTCGTGAAAAAGATTTCTTCAATATGGTGTGATGAACACCACTAGCCTCTGATGGCATTATATAATATTGATTATGCATTGTTAAGTCTGCTTGGTGGGTCCCTCCTGTGCCATCAGAATGCAATCAGTTACTCGTATTTGTATAAAAAGTTATGTAGTTTGTGTCGGCGAGATGTAAGTAAACAAAGAATAGTTTGATAGCAATGGAAAGGATGTTGGCGAATTTGGCTTCACTTTGTTGAATAATGATATTGATGCATTCTTCGTCACCCAACAAAAATCTGAATAGCAAATTATTGAAAAATTTCCGAAATGACGAAGCTCAACAAATTGGTACGTCACACCGACGTGATTTTTAGACGTCATATATACGTCACTGCAACGTTATAAGAGTAACGGTTTCCATTCAGGTATACCTGAACAATCATTTCTATATGTACATAGCTTGTTGGTTTCCTAGATATACAGTGTGTCAAAGTTTCTTAGAAAAAAGTTTTTGTACCACTTCTCGGGTATATTAATGATTAGAATGATACTTGCATCTTGATTTCCTTTCATGAGTTATACTTCCCTGCAACGTCATGAAACTGACGTCTTCTTTTACCCATCTAAGTGACGTCCACTCGACGTCGAAACGATGACGTGATTATCACGTCAAAGAAAGTACGTCATAGTGACGTCATAAATTGCTGTGTGACGTCCCTGACGAAAAATCACCAATCAGGGACGTCACTATGACGTGATCATTCGTCAATTTTTACTGGGGGTAAATTTCTAAAAAATATTAAATCGAGAGGTATTTGAGTGATGATTCCATTCAAGAAATTTGAAAAAATCAGTCCACTCGCCTATTCGCATTGTTACCTAGCGAGACATGAATGTGACATCCCAGGGATGTTTGTGTTTACTGGGAGGTTACCTTTACTCGCCACCGCTATCGCCGCACTTTGCTTCCTGCCGGGTTGCCCGTTCGACACCGAGAACTTCCTCATGCCCGTCTGGGGACTAACGATGGGAGCCTCCCTGTTGCCCGTCCGGGGGCCGGCGACGGGAGCCTCCCTGTCCGGAGGCCTCTTGAACGTGTCCTCCGGGAGATCGCGCGGCTTCTCGCTGAAGGTCACCTTGCTCTCCAAGTACTCGTCTTTCTTGTCCAAAATGTCGGACAGGCCCACGTACTGGATTTGGGCGGGCCGTAGCAGGGTGCTGGTCGATAAGCTATGTTTTTTCGAGCCTTTGTCTTTGGGGGCAAGAGATTTATGTGGTCTCGGGGAGAAAGTGTCCCTCTTTGGGGAGAATAGGGAGGCCGTGTCACGCAGGAGGGATTTTTTTCTTTTGACGGTTGGTTTGGGTATGGTTTCTGCGGGAGCGCGCGCTATGACTATCTCTAGTTCGCCGTTTCTTGGTTCGAGATGGTTTTTTGCGACGGCTAAGGGGCAACCTTTCATTCTCACACCATTGAGTCGGACAACTTCGTCACCCATTCTTAGAATTCCGTTCCTGGAAAAGAGAATGTGCCATTTATGGATAAGAAATTGAATTCCTCAGCAGAAAATATCAATACTTGGGAATGGATCTACTGAGTAGCCTGTAAATGTGACTCACTTAGGATCGAAACATTCATAACGATCATAAACAATTTTGGGTTTATCGATTTCGAAATTTTCTTAATCCAATGTAGTAATACAGATGTTCGTATGTGATACAGCAAGTATATTGATGATTATCGAATACAAAAAGGTACCTTGAATCTTGAGACCGAGCAGTCTAATATTTTCTAGACAACCTCTTACCGATGCCAAAGGTTCGAATCTGGCTTTGCTATGCATTTTGGTTGAAAATTTGTGATTCTTAGTGAAAATCCTGGATGCTGTGGTTCGGAATCCACTATGAGCTGTAGCCTCCCCTCTTCCTAACCTTGCACAAATTACGACTTTTGGAGATTTGGTTCCTAACTTCGAAGAAGCGATATACAAATTTTACAATTTCTTCTTCACAAATTATGTCGCATAGCAAGTGTAGTTTGTTGAAGAAACATAATTTGGTTAGAAAGAAAAAGGAATTTTTGATAATATCAATAAAACATGTTGTATTTGTAAGATTTTCCCACTCATTATTTCATTAATGAAACAATAATTTTTCGTCGTGTTTTAATTTGCAGTTGTTGCGTTATGCAACTAACGAAACATCAGAGAAATTGGTTTGCCCAAATTGACGTGTCTTCAACTGTCATGAGATTAGAAATTATGTTTTGGTTAGAAAGTCCGCAGTAGACTCAAGATAAGAGGTATCTCTCCTAGGCTTTTGTCACCACAACTCTGAAACACCCTGTATATCTATGTCGATGGGCGCGACGCTTACTATATAGTCAGTATACAGGGTAGAACTCAAGTACGTTAAAATATTCAAGTGACGTATTCCTGAGACAATTTTAAGGAAAAAGTCTATATTAATTTGTGTCCGGGAATGCTTCATTTTTCTAGATACGGGGTGTTGAAATACAGAAAACAAATCATTTTTCGATAAGCATTTCTTTGGAAACAAAGTAGTTTATCTTGACGAGACCTACAACATACTTAAAGTTATTGTGATGCTCACTCCACTTCACTTAGCACCTTAGGAGCTAAGTAACCTGCATCGATATAGAAAATTGTAAATATCTCGAAAACGATCACGTCCAGCGTTGTTGAGGAAGTGTATACCTTTTTTATACTTGGACAAGGCATAGGAATAAAGTTTCTTTATGAAAAGTTTACTCTCAAAAATAACTTATTGTTTGCAAAAGTTATTTTTAAAAACCGAACAAAAAAATCAATTTCAACACCCTGTATCTCTGAAACGAAGCATCTCCGGACACAAGTTTATATAGATTTTTTTCCTGAAATGGTCTCAAGAATATGTCACTTGATAACTTAAACGTACTTATATTACACCCTGCATTGTCACGTGACGTTTCGATTCTTCTTTCTATAAGCGAGATTTAGTAGTAGAAATTATTAAATCTTTGTTGTTATGGCCATCCCAATTGAAATTTGTTTCTGAAGCACTTCCTACTAAGCATTCCCCTAAAAAAACCGATTCCCAAATTTGGGTTCCTACGTAGTTATTTACCTTCTGGCAACAGAATTGGGCAGGACATCAGTGATGGAATACCCAATCTTCTCATCTCGTCCAAAACAGGGCCCGATAGTGATCCCTGCCACCTCATCGCTCCCAACCTTCAGCCTCACGCATCTGTACTCCTTCTCCACCACGTTAGCCTTCGAGGGGCCCCCTTTCCTCGAAGGACCATGCTCTTTCCTCAAGAGGCCACCATCTTTGATCGCGCCTCCCAATCTCAGCTGGTCCCTGCATGTTCGGCTCAGCTCCTCGACCGAGATGGTCGCTTCGTTTTTGTCTCTTTTCGTTGGGGACCTTTTGAGCTTGATGGATTTTCTTCTGGCGAGAGAGTCGGTGTCTGAGTCGTTGGACGGTCTGGTTCGTTTCTTGGAGGGCATCCTGGGAAAGATCAGTATCTCATAAACATTTTTGTGGTGCGCCTTCGTAAGATTTTGAAATGCGAGATGTTTTGGATGTATGACAAATTGATGTTCATCATACAGGGCGTGGAAAGAAAATTCTGAATTGAGGAAACCCAATCGCGAATCTGCAGGAAAAGTCGAAATTGAGAGATAACATTTTGAACATGGAGAATAATGTCAACATTCAGAGCAATTAGTCTAGATTCAAAAAAAAATCTTGATTCAGAGGAAAAAGTCTGAATTGAAAAGATGCATATCTTTTTTAGTCCAGAGGAAACAATCTGAAGTCAGAAATGGGTTTAAATTCATAGGGAGAAGTCTGAATTCAGAGAAGAAAGTCTGATTTCAATGAAATACATAGCCAATACGAAGGGAAAAGTCTGAATTGATAAGAAAAATGTATTTTAGTACAGAGGAAACAATCTGAAGTCCGAAAAAGGTCTGAATTTATAGGGAAAAGTCTGAATTCAGAGAAGAAAGTCTGAATTCAATGAAATATAAAGCCAATACGAAGGGAAAAGTCTGAATCGATAAGAAAAATGTCTTTTAGTACAGAGGAAACAATCTGAAGTCAGAAAAAGGTCTGAATTCAGAGAAGAAAGCGTGAATTCAATAAAATATATAGCCAATACAAAGGAAAAAGTCTGAATTGATAAGAAAAATGTATTTCAGTACAGAGGAAACAATCTGAAGTCCGAAAAAGGTCTGAATTTATAGGGAAAAGTCTGAATTCAGAGAAGGAAGTCTGAATTCAATGAAATATAAAGCCAATACGAAGGGAAAAGTCTGAATTGATAAAAAAAATGTCTTTTAGTACAGAGGAAACAATCTGAAGTCAGAAAAAGGTCTGAATTCAGAGAAGAAAGCGTGAATTCAATAAAATATATAGCCAATACAAAGGAAAAAGTCTGAATTGATAGGAAAAATGAACGAATTAAGAGAATCCACTTTGAACATGAAGAAATAAAAATGTCAAATTCAGCGAAATTAGTCTGCATTCAGAGAAATATTCTTGATTCGAAGGGAAAAGTGTGAATTGAAAAGAAACATATTCATATCAGTAAAGAAAAAAGGCTAAATTAATAGAAAGAATTCTGAATTCTGGGAATAAAGAAGCCTGAGTCCAGAGAAAAATTGCTAAATTCAGAGGAAAAAGTATAAATTGGGTAGGAGAAGCCTACATTCAGAGAAATAACACTCTGAACATGAAGCAAAATGTAATTCAGAGAAAATGGTCTAAATTCAGAAGAGAATACTCAATGCAGAAGAAAAAGTTTGAATTGAAAAAATCTTCCGAATCTAGAAACACAATAGGTTTGTTCTCGTTCGAAAAATGAACAAACCGAAACCATCGGAAGCATGCGCAGTTCCACGGAACATGAATTGAAAAATGCCAACAGTTCTGTGAAATGGCGCATGCTCCTGATGGTTTTGGACTGTTTATTTTTCCAACGAGAACAAACTTAGAAAGGAAAATGTTCTGATACACAGGAAAAAATCTAAATTCAGGAGAAAACCTATTCATAGAAAAATGTCAGAATTCATAGAAAAAACTAGGTACGAAATAGCCACAATGCTCAAAGTGGAATGAAATGTTGAACAAATACAAAAAGCCCAAAGTCATTTCCACACACATGTTCATAAAATGAACAACAATGGTAGATTTCGGGAGAAAAACAACTACTTTCCTGGCTTGCCACGCAGAAAATCGAATTACATCCTAGCGTGGCCTGGCTAAATCGAAATCAATAGACATTCAGGAAAGAATCACTTGTATCAGTTTTCGTTTATACGAGTCGATGCATGACTTTGAGCTTTTTGTATTTATTTTTTATAGAAAAAAGATCTGAATTCTGAGAAAAATTCGAAAATTCGTAGTGAAGAAATCCAAGTCTGGAGAAAAAATGCTACCGCTTCATAAACCGAGTCTAATTTGTTCAGCTGTTCGGCATCTCGATTCGATCTCGTTCTCACCTCGTCACCGAGGTGACCGTGACGTCCAGATCGTCCTCCTCCGCCGTATCGGTGTCATCCTCGTACTTGCTCGCCGAGGGTGCCTCCCGTAGCTCCTCGGAGCCGCAACTCTGCTGCGACCTCACCGATCCGATCGGCGAATCCTTGATCGAGTCGCTTCCGTACCCGCTCTCGTCCGACTTGAACTTGCACGGGAGTTTCGGGGAACTCCTTCTGCCAGGCAGGATGAGGCCGAGGAGGCTCGACAGGCTGTCGGTGGAGGAGTTCCTCGGGTGGTGCTTCGACTCCGTCTCGTCGTCGGACTTGCTGGAGGCCCGCGAGAAGAGCGAGCGGAACTTGGAGGTCTTCTTCTTGTTCTCTTCCGGGAGGCTTCCCAGCCTGGCTGTGGAGGGGCAAGCAGACGTTTCGGTGAAGATCTTGTCGAGCTCTTCGGTGTTCGGCTTCATGAGCAACAGGTAATCGTTGAGCTGCTGCTGAGTGAGTTCCAGGTTGTCCGACATGCACTTCGCCTTTCTTTTGCTGTTTATTATTCTCTCGGACCTACGGAAACGGAGAACGGACTTGTGTTCATTTTTATTAATTTCGAGTTATAGGTAACTCGAAATTAGTGTTGATTTCTAGTTGTAACACGAAATCAAGGTACGACGGTACTAATTTCTTTTTCATAAAGTTTTTCCACTACGGTCAATTGAATCTCAAAATCGTCCCATGTCACCAAATTCTACGGTAATGTCAAGTTGTAACACGTACTAATTTCCTGTTCCAATTCGAAATTAAGGTACATACATGTCGTAAGTACACTAATAAAAAAAATTGTATGTCTGTTCTGAGCTTTCATACTGACCTATCGTTCACATTTCTGTACATGTCGTAAATTTTTCTCAGATCTGTATGGGAAAGTTTCAGTTGCGATTTTTCTTCCTCGTCTTTCGATGTACAAGGTGCCGAGTTTTTAGAGTCATTTTGTTTTTTCAGGGGTGACCAGCTTCTTTTCTTGCTGTGTACTGTTAGTTTTTCCGATGAGTCGCCCCGTTTCAATTTATCCCAGGTCTTTCCCCAAGTCGATCGATCTGAAAATCAAAAAAGTCCGGATATTCTTTCGAAAGATGAAAATATTTATGATTTGTCAGTCGGGCGGGCTTGTTATTCATAGATAACAATGACAAATTTCATTGGTTATGAACCACAAACTGAATGACTCAAATAAATATTATGACTGAATAATCATCGAGGATAACTTATCAGACAATTAAATAATGATAAAAATTTGATATAATTTTGGTCTCTACTTAATATCTAGTTTTTTTATATCTGATGTTTCCAGTGATTTGCATATTCAGATCATGAATTTCCAACTATTTCAGTGGCTTATAGACAAAAAAATTCAAGTATTATGAAAGTATATACAGGGTGTAATTTAATTGATAGCTAAAAATGAAGGATATTGTTCCTTAGCACATTTCAAGAAAGTACATTGAAAGAAAAGTCGAGAAAAGTGCATATGAACATATGCCCTAAGCCTCTTAACATTCGAGCCATAGCTTTAAGAAAAAAATCGTTTTCTCGTCATAACTTCAATACTGTTCTACATATTTTCATGAAATTTGACATGCACCTATAATGAGCACCAATAGGAGATTTATTAATATTCCTACCAGGAGCGTCCGTGTGGGATATATCCTGGAGATTTGAAAAAAAATATTTTGTTCGAAATATATAGTTTTGTTTTGGTTTCAACCTTTTTTGTCATGTGATTTATACACATCTGCGACCGTTATCGGCAAAGAATCGAAATCATGTTTTGTAATTTGCTAGATTTGATTGAAATTTGATGTCAACGAAACAATGAGAAAAAGAGAAGTAGTGGGCTTTGACTGCTACTTTCATTTTGACATTCAGGATTGTTTTGAAGCCCCTGACGTTATTCGGATGTTTTATCATGTAAAAAAGAGTCTTGAAATGTTAACACTCTGTAGATCGGTAACGAAGCGTTCCCGGACACATGTTTATTGGAAAAAATGTCTCATTTTGACCTGAAAAATAAGCTTCTGAATACTTGTAACTGAATTTTGAATCACCCTGTATATGTTATTACGAAGTTTAAACCATATTCGGTCCGATACTCGCTGAATCGTATCAACAAGAAATCGTTGTACCAAATTTGAAATGAAAGTACCCGGTAAATTGAGGAGAAATATCGAAAAAAAAAATAATAGCCTTACTTGATTTTGTGGTTTCTACGAAGCTCTCAGTGCTAGGAACACGTGAAGGAGAACTGGTGTCAGCTTCAGAAAGTTTAGCTAGACTCTCTAATATCTGAGGGTTCGGGTCGGAACTTCTTCGTTTGAACAGTCTCATTTCGTTATCTGAAACAAAAAGAGCAAACAATGAAGGAATTAAGAAATACGATCTGACAATATAGAACTCATTCCAGGAAATGACATAAACCACTATGAACTATCACCACAGATTTTGTTAATCATCCACAAATACGAGGAATTGTTGATCCGTGATTATTTAAACACTAAACAAATCGAGCTAAAATGTAGGCATACATATTTAAACCGTACCGATTTATATGGGACAGTGTGTCGCTGATGCTGACCCATAGCTGTCTATAACATTGTATCAAATCAACGGATTTTTCAACAAACATATCTGTTTATTCTTATTAAAGTTCAGTTTGAAGCCCACGTGGGGAGATTTGCGTAAATAAAAAGGCTGTGGCAGTCATTCTTTGATCAACGCAAAAATAACCTGCCTCTCACGTCCCACTGCCTTCCTACGTTAACCGCGATATGAAGTTGAGGAAGAAGTAATGACAACTATTTAACTACCTCACAAAGTCGAAAATGTTTACTGCTATTTTTATTGTCGCCTTATGAGGAATACACAGTGTGTATGTTCTGAACAAATTTATCATTCCAAAAATATTTAGGAAAATAAGTAGGTCCTATCTTGTGAATCAGCGCACCGGTGATGGTATATGAGTATAATGACTAACTTATCTTAATGCCTATACGCTATATATGTAGTGAAAATATGAGCGCTGAGGACCTGGAATGATGATTCTCCTACAAATTTCATAATTGAAAGGTAATATGAGTGACTATTCAGGTGAACAAATAAATATATATCAGCAACTATTCTGTCACTGATAATTGAAATCATCCCGTTCTAAGTCAACTTCCATTACGGAAATCAGTGGTTTAAAAGGTAATTCATGAGGGGACTCACAAGACAAGTTGTTGTACTTACAATGAACAATTTTTTTGGCCATCCATAACGGAGATGTGAAATTGCCATATAACTTTGATGGCTGATATTTCAGGAATCATTTATCTTAATTTGGTGAAATTCGACAGCGACGGTTCTCTAATGAAAATATTCAAGATGGCAAATTACAGAAACAAATCCATAATCAAAATCATAATATCTTGAATAGTTTCTATAGAGAAACGATCTGCCGAATTTCAGCAAATTACTATGAATCATTTCTCAAATATCGGCCATGAAAGTTATATGGCAATTTCACATAATAATCTTCGTTGTGGTTGTTCAAAAGAATTGTTCATATATTAATACATCAACTTGGTTTGATTTCCACCAAGATGAGTGGAGTGCCTGTCGGGAAACTATTTGTCGTTTTGCCAGGAGAAAAAAATATCAATTTCTGCGACTTTCCCAACTCTTGTGATGGCCGAATATTTCAAACTTACATACCAGTTCGGATCCGTATATATAGGAACGATTTCTAGAGGTTTATTGAAAGGAAGAAAATGCGGCATATAGTTTTGTCGCAAACATTCCAAAAGTCATCACACTCTTCCTCACATATATTCATTGATATCAATTGTTTATGACGGATATATCTAACTAATTAGATACCTGAGTATAAATAAAAGTCAACCTGAAACACTCTCTAGTTGTTTTCATATTGATTATTCATATTGCCTCTGTAGCAACCGGTATTGGTGATTGTGAAAAAAGAATAGATTGTTGTTATCTCACATTAGATTATATTTATAGAATATCAATACAAAAACTAGATGAACAGCACAAATTTCGAATTAAATTATGGTTCTGCTTGTACAGGTGCTATATATATAACACTCTTTGATACAGCTACTATAATATATTTTTAAATCCTCTTCGTATATATTTTATAAACCAAGAACACGAAACATATCCGGCCTGTCCCGATATCAGCCTGCCGTTTCACCAGTGCCTTCTACGACCAAAACTAGGAAGAAAAGTTTTAACAAACAAGACTCGAAAAATCTCTTCTGAGGGAACTAGGGGCCCCTGAAAAGGGCTCCTGAAGATCATATTTCTTGAATATTTCCGAAACGCCGTGTGATAAACTGATGCAATTCGGAACGAGATCTGAACTTTCCATTTATTACAATGCAGTGAAAATAAAATAATTCCAAAATGTTATTCTGGAGTGTATTAATACAGGATGGAATTACATTAAATATTGCTCAAACATTTTTGTATGCATATATTTTCAATTTGATCTCGAATTATGAAAATCCACACATTTTTACAGAAAACGAGTACATACTTTTGTTCTGTATCGATCAGATATATCTTTTTCCAGTGAGATCGATTTGAAAATATTGTTACATCTCACATTTTTATGCACAACATTGCCTATTCTCAAATCATAGTGACAACAAAATAATCAACTACTTTCCTTTCCCCGAATAATTTCATAGAGGCGCGTAAAATAGGAAAATGATGAATCAAAAACTACTTCAATTTTTGTGCATTTTTTCCATGTCCATCACGATTTATTGCAATGTTTTGCATAGAAAATGTGAGATGTAACAATATTTTGAAATCGATTTTACTCGGAAATGATACATCTGCTCGATACGGAACATATGATCACTTTTTTTCTGTGAAAAGGTTTGGATGTCCATAATCCGAAATTAAATTGTCGTAATATATTTGTACAAGAAAGAAGATATTCAGGAGCCCCCTGTCAGAGCCCGTAGCTCCCTTAGGAACCACTTTTCGACTCCTGTTCATTGAAACTTTTCTTCCTATTTCTGGTCGTAGTAGCCGCTGGTGAAGTTTGGCAGGATAATTTCCGGACACCCTCTGTATACCCGTTTAGAACAATTGGAAGTTATTAATTTCAAATTGTATAAGGAAATCACATGATGGTAATATAGTCTCTATTTTGATTCCGAAAGATGAGTATAGGTTCACATCATAATATATGATTCCCACGTGCACCATTTATTGAACACCCTGTAATTTTAAGCGCAGTAACATTTATAGCAAAGGCGCTATCTGCTATTTCAAATGCCATTACCCATAATTACATTTCTTACTGCAACGTATCTACTGTCTTGCAATATTTAATCAATATGATATGCACCCCAAGGTCGTACGTTCTAATCAGTCTTACCGCATTGGTGTGCAAAATGCGTGGTCTGCACTCTGGAGGTATATTAAAATTGAATCGTTAATAAAAACCAATTAAACAATAATGGAAAAAAATTATTGTGATCAGGTTCTGAATGAATAGAGTGTCAGCAGATTAGATACAGAGCAATTTGTTGACAAACGTCCACGCATATTTGATACGGATACCAAATGATGCTTACCTCAAAATTAAATATATACCCACTATTAATGTGTATATGTATATAAATGATTCATTTTTTTCTTTATGACTTTTCCCACACCATTTTAGCATTGTATTTGCGTAGATATTTGTAAACATTCCTTCTTCTGACTAGTCTGATAAGTTTTGCACATTATCTATACCTTGTATAATCTTTGATTGTCGAATAATTTCTTCTTATCTATCACTTCAAGGTATAGACTAGTAAAATTGCGATAACATTATATTCAACTTGGGAAATATAGGTACTATATATAGTTAATTGAATATAGAAATTAGTAGAATACTTTTCCTGTACATTCCCAAAAACTCAATAATATTAAAATTCATTCTAATCAGAAACAATTTCCATATTTTCCATCTTTAAAATTTTGTGAATATGCAGCAGCCACTTGATTTGTTTGCCAATTTTGGAGGGATTATACAGTTATATATATATATATATATACATGTGAAACTTAGGTATACGTTGTATAATAATCTGGAACATACATACCTATATACAGGTATAGAATAATGCAGTTCGTATAGGTTCAGCTCTTTTGTTGGGCATTTATTTACAGATATTAATCCTCAATTTATTAGAATGTATAAATTTACTGTACTGAAAATAAACAAGTAGAGGCAGTTATATATTTCCATTTATGGAAAAAGAGAAATCGATGTAAAATATCTGGCATGATAAATTCAAGTTAATAAAGATGTATACTTACATATACAGGGTGTCAATTTGAAAACTTCCCACCCTCAATATCTCCCTCCAAGTCGATAATATGGAAAAACGAAAAGACAGGTCGATTTTATTTTCGAGGGGGACATGGTTCTAAAATATTTTCAGCCCCGCGGCGTTGCCGCTTCTAACGAAAAGAAGCAACAACTTTGTTATTTCAAATGGAACACCCTGTATTTTATTGCATTTTTAGATTCTCACTGAAAAGCTGATTTCATCAATGTATCACACTTGGGGTCTAGCAGGAATGATTACAGAGATATAGGGTGTTCAAAATCGAGATTTTACAACTTTAGGATCTTTTTGAGTCGAAACTATTCATTATTGGTCAAAACGGCTTTTATGTCCCTATCTCAACTTTTGATTTACTATCTACTGACATTTATTTGAAACAAATACAGGGTGGTTCAAGATTCAGACTTTTGATCACCCTGTATTTGTTTCAAATAAATGTCAGTAGATAGTAAATCAAAAGTTGAGATAGGGACATGAAAGCCGTTTTGACCAATAATGAATAGTTTCGACTCAAAAAAATCCTAAAGTTGTAAAATCTCGATTTTGAACACCCTATATCTCTATAATCATTCCTGCTAGACCCCAAGTGAGATACATTGATGAAATCAGCTTTTCAGGGAGAATCTAAAAATGCAATAAAATACAGGGTGTTCCATTTGAAATAACAAAGTTGTTGCTTCTTTTCGTTAGAAGCGGCAACGCCGCGGGGCTGAAAATATTTTAGAACCATGTCCCCCTCGAAAATAAAATCGACCTGTCTTTTCGTTTTTCCATATTATCGACTTGGAGGGAGATATTATGGGTGGGAAGTTTTCAAATTGACACCCTGTATGAGAAACAATTAGTAAAGAAGCTGCGCATGAACATCAGGAATGAAATGATCCTTCAATATATACCAGGTGACACTGACTCATGGTATACCCCCTTTTCTATCTATATTTCTGAAATTTGGGACATCGAATATGCTCACTAGAGGGCACTATCCCGCTTTTCAGGATTTTTTTTTCATCTTGCGGTTTTCCAGGAAATGATTTCGATTTTCAAATGGAACACCTTGTATTTTATTCTATAATGGTTTAGAGATTATTATAACGAATTAAAAAATACCAGGTTTGATTGGGTTATTTCAAACGATTACGAAGATATTCGCGATCGAAGTTTCCATAAGCTCAATGAGTGTAACAGGGAAAGAACATTCGATATTGCGCCGTCACACCCATTGAGCTTATGGAAACTTCGAACGAGAATATTTGTAATCTTTTGAAATGACCCAATCGAACCTGGTATTGCTGAATTCGATATAATAATCTCTAACCGATTATGAAAAAAAATACAGGGTGTTCCATTTGAAAAGCGAAAGTTGATGTCATTCCTAGGAAAACCGGAAAATGGAAAAAAAATCCTGAAACATGAGAAAGTGCCATCTAGTGAGCATATTCGATTTCCAAATTTCAGGAATATAGCTAGAAAACCAAGGGATAAAAGGGGGGTATATGCCATGGGTCTGTCTGAGGAACAAAAATCCGTCGCTCTCGGTTCCCCCCTTCCGCAACAACTTTGTTTTACATTACAAATAATGTTGAAAGCTTTCAAGAGGTTATAGGATAGGAGAGTGAAATACCACAGTTTAACGAACACCATAATTCTCTAAACTGTCGTATGGAAAATACACATTGTGTTTCATTTGTATCGGTTTTCGATAGTCGAAATAATAGTTTACAATAATGGTTCTTATAATTCCAAAGCTATTATCTTTCGTGATGAAGAACAATCCAAAATTCAACGTAGAACCAAAAAACAAATTTGAATCGCTGCATGTTTTTGAGACACCCTGTATTAATGAAACGTAAACCATTGAATAAATCGAATGAAACCCTGTACAACTTATGCATGAATTCAAAATTTGTTGTTACACGTAAAATAAAGAAGTATACGAATCTATGTGGGGAGTCGTTAATCTATGGTTTATACATAGATCTAATTAGATCTATGGTTTATAAAATTATCACGGCGGAATAGCGCAGTGGTTATGAGCGCTCGAGTATAGCAATTATCAGAACATCGAAAGGTTGCTAGGTTCGATTCCCCGGTACAGCATAAAATTTTCATTTATGAAACTAGTTATAAATTATTCTAATTGTCGTAGCCCCGACCGGAGATGATTCCGCACGATTCGCTGTTATCAGGGCTGCTCCTAAGGCTATGGTTGAGGTGGCGCATGGAGTTAGTAACAAAACCTACAGGTCGATGGCCAGTTGGTTGTACACACCGATGCAATAAGAGCGCTCATATAGTCCAACCGCGACATGTTCGCTGAAAACAAGTGTACAAACGAAAAAAATAATCAACAATATTCTTCAGAATTTTCCTGTATAAAAATAATGTAAGTAGAACACACGAGATTTTTAACTGTAAGAAGATGGTTTTGATATGTTTTGCGTAAGATTTTAGCATCAAACACAATGTATTATTCTATGTTATTACACATTTCCTGGTCAACATTTGAAATCGTCACAATATAACAGCTTCATACACCTTGAGTTAATTGCAATGAAGAGGATGGGTACCTATACTGTCATTGCTTAACGGACCAATTAAGGAAATTAATTGACTGTGCAATTGGAACAAATAATGAAAAAATACTTACTTTTATGGTCCAAATTAAGTATGAGTAGATATACCTATATCTATAAATATCTATACAATGGTTTTTCGAAACAAATAAAAATATAATAAGAGAACTTTGTAGGTATATACGTACTGACATATTTTTTGCCTCAGTTAGCCTAAATCATGATGAATAATTCCCCAATGGAATAATTATTGAGGATATTATTGCCTATAGAAGTTTAAAATAATCCGATATAGATATTAACTTTTTGATTTATAACTATAGGTACCAATTAAAAATTAAAATATACCTATACCTACTTGGAAATAAAAAATGGTGATAGGTTAGAGGATCGGTCCGAGGATTCAAAGAGAAAAACATCCCGAAAATAATATATACCTATTATGATTCCTCATTTCAATCAATCAATATAAATTCGATTCAGAAAATTAAAGCTCCAGTATATATAATAATCAAAACGAGCCAAACTATGGATTGCAATATTCCACCTGAACACATAAAACTACAGGTGAAAAGTGTAGGACTATAGGTACCTCTCGTATGGCAGGCCAGCAATCAATCACATTGATGTTTATTGCAAAACTGAGACCGGTTCAAATCACGTGTGTGCACTCAAATCGCGAAAACACTAGGTAGGTACTACTGCTATACTATACCAAGAAAATTGTATTGAATGGGAAGAAGCGAATGTATACCTATCAATGTTTACTGTTTTGCCCCGCCATTCATATTTTCTACGTTTTCTTGTGCGAGATTCATTTCATGAGTGACGAAGTCGAATTTTTGGTAAGGTTACTCATGGTACGCAAAAAGGAAATGCTTTGCGGTTTTTCATCATACACCACAAAAAATTGTTTATTGATAAAATATATGAGGGTATATATGAGTACGCATGTAGTATTATAGATTCTACGCATCTTAATTGATAGCTCATGACAGAATATGGGATAGTTATAGGCATGTTGGAAATCATAATAAGTATTTCCACCATGGGTATAGATATACCCATATGGGAGATAGCATCTCACCATTATATGATATATACCTATCAGTAATTTTTGCGGCCTCGAAAAATTCCGTCAAGACTGACTTCGTTGATTGATATATTACGCTGACTTTTAGCCTAAGAGAAAAAATAACTTATAGGTAAAGGTAATGATACTGTTGATTGCTGTGGCTTACCTTAGATCAGATAAACACTTCCAAATTTATCAATAAAATGCAACACATGAATTCAAAAAAAATTATAACGATTGGATGACACTGATGACAGAGAAAGAGTCATAGTGTATAGTTCGATGGAGAGAGTGGGAAAGGTTGATACTGAAAAAAAGTTAGGAATGGTTATTCCTTGAACGGTTGTGTTGTGTCAATAGAATACCTAAATCCATAATCCTATATGTATATTGTATTTTCTAGTGAATAGAGATTTGGTTGAATGGAGTTTGGGATAGGAAAAAGGAAATACTGACAAAAGTGATAAATATGAACAAAAAGGCCAAACTACATTCGAAAAATTATTATATTTGGTATGCTTTGTGCCTGACTGTTAGGCAACACAAATTACCGTAGCTGGAAAGCTATCCTGAAAGAACTGCCTAAATCTTTCGAACCATTCACACCTTGTGATATGTTGGGATTCCTGATTCCTGTTTTTTTACGATTATTTTCCACAATGAAATTGTGGAGGCTGGGTTTGGTAGCTCTCAACTGTGGTTTGGTCAGGGAATTTTATTCTTGCTTGTCCACTAATAGCATGGCGTTAAAACCCACTGTGATCATTTTGTGTAGTGATTCAGGATTCAGGCTTCCAAGGATGATTTTCCTCCCTTTCCTTTCAAGATCAAGATTCGGAGGGTCTTGTTTAGATTTCTACTTTTCTGCGAGTCCATATATTGTATCTCGTGATTCATTGTGAACGAACAATCTGACAATGAGGTTTGGGAATGGTTCGAAAACTTTAGGCTCTCGTATCCTGAACATCTTATTTTGCAATTGACAAGGTGATCGACCGTTGAGGGCGCTGTATCAAAAACAAGATGGCGGCGTTATCAGGGCACTTTGTTTAGTTTACACCCTTTACAGGGTGTTTCAGATTCGAATGTACATATACTAAACCTGTATAGATAGAGGAAACTTTGGTGGTCCCAATCACTACCTATGGATGTGTCTTCCATCTCTTACTCGATCTTTTATAATCAATATAATATACAGGGTATGTCATGACGAGCTTACACTATCTTTATATCGAGAATCAGTCGGGAGAAATCAATGAAAATGTGCATGCTGATATTTCAGAATACGCTCTCGTCATGTGAAATATTTTCGACAATGCAAGAACGGCTCACATGTCCCTATTTCAACTTTTGATTCACTATTTACTGATATTTAATCGGAACAGATTCAGGTTGGTTCAAGATTCAGAATTCTGATCATCCTGTATCTGTTCCAATTGAATATCAGTAAATATAGTAAATCAAAAGTTGGAAAATCTCGATTTAATTTGAACACCCTATATCTCTGTAATCATTTTCGATAGACCCCAAGTGTGATATGCATCGATGAAATCAACTTTTCAGGGAGAATGAAAATACAGGGTATTCTATTTGGAATCACAAAGTTGTTGCTACTTTTTGATAGAAGCGGCAACAATGCTTTGCTGACAATTATTTAAATGAATAAGAGAGCGTATTCTATAATATGAGCATGAATATTTTCATGAATTTCTCCCGAATGATTCTCGATATACAGATAGTGAAAGCTCGTCGTGACATACCCTGTATATTAAATCAGACATAAAATCTTTAAATTAAAACTTGGAATTTACATGGCACTAGCGAAAATCCATCATAGTCTGATGTTTTAGTGTTTTTTAAGATTTCTGGAAATCCTATCGCAAAATTCTCTGTTATAGACGTAGTATTCGTAGTAAACTCAGCACAACCTCATTTATAATTACTTCGTAGAGAAGCCTGGCAGTCTAAACCAAAATGTACATTTAGATCTGAAACACCCTGTATGTCTCCTTGTGCATTTTATACTCTTCGAGAAATTTGCTAGAGTTTTTCACTACTTCTGATAGTTCTGATTCGACTGTAAAATTCGTTCAAATCACTATAGAGATTTTCGTGAAAATTATATTTTTAGCCTGTGTTCAATTTTTTCAATTCGTTAGACTAGTTCCAATATATCCCGTGTTCAATTCTTCATCTTATATCTTGTATAATATATATCTGTTCCCCCTGTATAATTTCATTATCGTCACTCGTATCGTCATTAGTAATAGATAAATCATTTGTTCGGAGATTTATCGGTTAGGACCATGATTCAACCTATTAGTCATTCATTCGAGACCAGGTGGTGAATCAAGACAGTCTTATATTAGATGTCATCACGTACAGTCGAATTTTGTGATCGCAATTGAAAATTACGCGAAAGGAATTATTTATCGTTCCAAACGGAGTGTTCACTTGAAAATGAGTACAAGTATATATAGTGTGTTTTTGTGTTCCTCATACAATTCAGTGATTACATCATCGCGATCGTGTGCTGTTCTGGTGTTTCGTGTTGTTTCATCAAATCTTCACATTTTTCACGCTGGTGAGTGAACAGAGATTATCTAAAGTTTTCTCTCATATTGCCCTGTTTATATTTAACTTAATCACTTCACATGTTTTGAAAATAGGAAAGGTCCGTTCGTTGAATATTTTCCGATTAAGGAATGCTTTCTTCTGATTTTCGTGCTTTCCGTTCAGAACTATATTTTTTTAGAAGATAATAATGCGAAAAGAGCAAACCAGAAGAAAATAAGGCGATTCGAGGTTATTCCATGAAAACATTTTTTTTTGTCTACACAGGGTGTTTCAGATTTAAATATACATACATCGATGTGTCTACTATCTTTTATAACTATGATACAGAACTGACCAAATCTTGATTTTGGCAAAATCTTTATCTGTTCAGCTCATAACATTTGAACCATGGTGTATAATCGATTCATACTCGATAGGTATATTATTCAACTTATATTACTACTTTTCAACAGGGTGCATCCAATTCGACTTTTCTTTCATCATTATTTTTCGAAATAGAATTTTTGTTGAACTCCTATCCAAAGTCCAATTTTATCACAAAAAATAATCAGTCCTCAAAGTTCAACTTCATTAGAGTCAAATTAGGTGTGAACTATCGATAGTTTTCATTCCATAGAATAATTGTTAATTAGATATTCTCAAGTGCTCGTTACATTCTCAGTATTTCAAAAAATAATGATAGTTTGAAAGTTATTTTCATGAAATTATTTTTTTTAATCTTACTTTCAAGGTCAATATCTCCGAAACGAAGCGCGATATACTTTTTTTTATATGAAGTACCAACATTATTTTGGCTCACAATATCAGTCCTATCATTTACAACATTACCTTTCCCGACATCCTGTATAGTTTGCAAATTTTTTCTAAAACCATTTTTCACTCATTTGGGATTGAATCAAAGTTGCCAATAACATTTAGATAGCTGTGGACACAACAGAAATGCTATGGAAACACAACAGGCATTTTTTGACATCTCTGTCGGTCTTTGCATTAAAATGAGATATTCATCAGTGGAAAAATACGAAATTGTGTGATTGTTATATTATGAAAATATTGCGGAAACTTTGGTAATGCAGCAAGAATTTAGCCTAAATCAGATTTCTTTTCCAGAATAACAAGTAAACAGACAGAGAGGAAAGTGTTTGATACTAGCCACTAAGTCGGAGAAAATTATCCAGTCAAGACGGACCGAACAGAAAATCCGCAGAGAGAAATGACCAGAGTATACTTTTCAGAATTCTGATCCGAGCAGCACATTGTTTGGCATTCATGTTCCTTATTATAACCCACAAAATTGAAAATGTGGAATATGTTCACTGGGAAAACCACTTTTCGGAATGAGAGCGAATATGTAGCAATCCAGTTACGGTTGTTGAAAAGATTATTCAGGTATGTTTGAGATTCAACATCAGTTTTAATTCTCATGGACTTTCTGATATCTGATGTTTAGTTGCAGATCCAAAAAGCAAAGTGTTTGATACTTGGCAATAAATTGGAGGAAACCATCCAGTCAACAAGAACCGTATAGAAAACCGCAAAGAGAACTGACCAGAGTATACTTTTGAGAATTCTGATCCTTATGTTCGTACGGAAGGCGATATATTGAATTCTTTTCCAGATTCTCAAGCAAACAGATAGACAGATATTCACCTTTATGTCTCTATGGAAACACGACAGGTACCCTTACGAGGGGAGAGTATCAGCTCGGCGTTTATAAACCCTCTCTGCAAAGGAGGTCGACGCATATGGTGGGTTAGGTATATACAGTGTTTTTCATTGCAGAGAAAATCGTTGTTTATCTGCCTACCTCGTCTGCATTGAGAGAGTTGATGAATAATCATAAAAATATATCGCGTTTTAGTTACGAATTTTGAAAATAATATTCAGACTTCGTAGATTTCAAATTGATGCTTAGTTTTAGATCCGAGCAGCACATTGTTTGGCATTCATGTTCCTTATTATAACCCACAAAATTGAAAATGTGGAAGCTGTTCACTGGGAAAACCACTTTTCGGAATGAAATGAGAGCGAATTAATATGTAGCAATCCAGTTTACGGTTGTTGGAAAGATTATTCAGGTATGTTTCAGATTCAACATCAGTTTTGATTCTCATGGACTTTCTGATATGTGATGTTTAGTTGCAGATCCAAAAAGCAAAATGTTTGGTACTTGGCAATAAATTGGAGGAAACCATCCAGTCAAGACGGACCGAATAGAGAACCGCAAAGAGAACTGCCCAGAGTATACTTTTCAGAATTCTGATCCTTATGTTCGTACGGAAGGCGATATATTGAATTCTTTTCCAGATTCTCAAGCAAACAGATAGACAGATATTCACCTTTATGTCTCTATGGAAACACGACAGGTACCCTTACGAGGGGAGAGTATCAACTCGGCGTTTATAAACCCTCTCTGCACAGGAGGTCGACGCATGGTGGGTTAGGTATATAAAGTGTTTTTCATTGCAGAGAAAATCGTTGTTTATCTGCCTACCTCGTCTGCATTGAGAGAGTTGATGAATAATCATAAAAATATATCGCGTTTTAGTTACGAATTTTGAAAATAATATTCAGACTTCGTAGATTTCAAATTGATGCTTAGTTTTAGATCCGAGCAGCACATTGTTTGGCATTCATGTTCCTTATTATAACCCACAAATTTGAAAATGTGGAATATGTTCACTAGGAAAACCACTATTCGGAATGAGAGCGAATAAGTAGCAATCCAGTTAAGGTTGTTGGAAAGATTATTCAGGTATGTTTCAGATTCAACATCAGTTTTAATTCTCA